TCCACAAACTATTGAAACACCGGTTGACACGATGCCACCTCCACCGCCCACTATCGGAGACAATACTTCTTCTGACTGATATATTGACAGATGATTTACTTGGGTCCAATAATCAGGATAGTATTGAAGCTCCACATCCCCAGGATGCTTCAGGTGTTGAAGAGACATGCTTACCATCTCTCCAGAATCAGAATGTAGTTACTGCTGGTCAAGAACTGGGGGCTCATTCTCTCCTACATGCCCAACAATCTGTTGACCACACCGATCAGATGAGCCAGTCCTCGGATGAGGAATGACAGGTTTACACATCTAGAAAGAAAAAGAAGAATGGAGACACACCCCAGCTTGGGAACTTAATGGATGATACTCCAGTAAATCCTAAAACCAGAGGCAGAGGCAAGACCAAGTTGGCTCGTGCCTAGCAGCTTATTTCCTATAAGTTTTGTTTTTCTATAAGTTTTGTTTTCTTTTTTCTTTTTTTTTTGTGTTTTATCTATGTTTCATCCTTTTAGGATGCTAGTGTCTGATGTATCGTATGGGGAGGGGACCTTTTTTTTGGTCCTCTCATGGGTCCTCTCATACAACCTCTATATATCTTTTCAATTTCAATAAAATTAGCCTTTGGGGCGTTTATTAAAAAATATATATATATATATATAGTTTTGAACTATAATTATTTAATTTTAAAAAAAATGAGACTGAACCAATCTCATATATTTAATAGTTTAAATGATCGAGCACAACGCCTCAAGTAACGCCTATCCCGAGGGATATGTGTGTTACTTGATAGTGAAACGCGATTAAATAAACTACAGAATTTATGACATCTGTATGATTTGCGAACCATTTATTTTGACTTACAAGTTTCCCTATCTAATATTAAAAATTAGGTAAAATTTATATTACCTGGGTTCTTAAAGCTCCTTATAGAGTCAAGCCCCTATAGTTAATTACCTCTCAAATGACTGAAATCACTTAAGAGAACTCTCGATGATGATCAGAGGTATTTATCTTTATGAATCCAAAGTTTAGAATTTTCAAGGTTGGACATAAAAAAGTCAAGTGGGAAAAGGACCAAATATGAACAATTATTTCTAGAGTCAAAGGAAGAAAAAGTAGGGGATGTCATGGATCCGGATGAGAAAACCACGGTGACTTCTCAAACTATCATATTACTTGGCTTCAATTTCGAGAAAATGTAATTTGATGTTTCATCCTGCCAATTTTATTATTTACGACTTATATTTGCATGCACAGTCATACAAATAGTTTAGAGTTTATATCAAAGTAAAAAGAAACTCAACAAACAATACTAAATGTTTAAATGCAGACAAAAACTGAGAGAAATCAAGGAGGAAGCAAGTCAATGCACAATCTCTCATGACTCAGAGCGTGCACAAACGAAACAAAAAATTATCATCCAGTGGACTTGTTGGCTTGGTTTGCATACTAGAAGAGTGTGGTTTTTTTATTTTTTTTTGCACTTAAATAAACTAGGTAATAAAAAATAAAATAAAATAACATCAATATATATCATTTGTATTCTCCAATAAATAAAGAATTTCAGATTTGACATTTCTTTTCCACTATTCAGTATGCCACATAGAAATGCTCAAAAAGTTGGGCAGTAGGATCCTCTCTCCAGTTTAAAGATCCCTTATTAAAACAATTATGTATATTA